CCTCGCCCCGCGCGCCCCGCAGGCAGCGGCGCTGGATGCATAACTTGGGGACGAGCGGCGCGTTTTAACCTCTGCAGCAAGCGCTGGGCAGGGAGGTGGCGCGGCTCGGTGCCACCTGAGCTGCGTCAGCCGCCAGGCAGACCCTGCACCTGTGTCCTCGGCTTTCCCCAAAGGCGGCGGGCCTAGGGCTTCAGAGAACGCTGAGGCGAAGAGCGTGTGGCTTGACCACTGCAGCCGGCGCGTGCAGCGCATTCAACTCGGCCGTAGGGGCTTTGGGTCAAAATTGGGCATCCCAGCCCCGAGAGAACACCACTGGGGCTTTGGCTTGTGTGCCTAGGTGATGTTTGCCTGTATCTGTGAAAAGTTATATGCAGAGATATCACTTGAGAATTAGAAAATAAAGTCACCCCAGTAAAGATGTTGAAAATGATAAGAAAATGCTGTTGGATATCTCAAGTAGTAGGCCAGTAAGTTTTATGAGCCTGTTTAAACAGCGAGTGAGACTTGAGATATAGTGTACATTTTATATTATGTTCTATGCTTTTTTCTTAAATTTATTTAGACAGATATGGTAATAAATAAAGGAATTGGGGAAGGCTGAGCTTTTCCTCCCCCTTTAGTTTTTAACAAATAAAAATTTGCATCCTGTCCTTTAGAAGAGTGTTAGTGTAGTACTGTTAATGTATTGATTTCTAGCCATTTTTTTTTTTTTTTGTCTTTTGTCTTTTTACGTGTCCGGCAACGGATCGCAACCCTCAGTGTTGCCCCCGTACCGGACCGGGGACTGGCAACGGGATCGCAAGCCTTGGTGTTGCTCCCGCGCCTCGCTCAGCCAGTGAGCGGGAGCCGGTCCGTATGTGGGATCCGAACCCTCGGACGGGAGCGCCGCCGCGCTTCCCAAGCGGCGCACTATCCAGTGCGCCACCGGGCCGGCCCAGATTTCTAGCCATTTTAAAGTTTAAAATATAATGCATTTTTGTCATAAAAATTTTAAACAGTTCCGAAATGAATGAGGTAGTGAATATCCCTGCTGTTAACACTTTGCATTTATATACATAAATGCATAGAGCTATTTCTTTTTTTTCCTAAAGTTAAATGATATAAACCGGGTTTCACCTTTCACTTGACATTGTAGTCTAGTATGCTTATAACTTTTTTCTGTCAGTTCATGGTCTAGGTGATCTGGCTTTTGAGATCTATATTAATCATATTTAGTTAATTTTGTAGTGAGAATGGAAATTTTGTCATACTAGTTCTTTTTCAAGTATGTGTTATTTCAGTAGCAAACATCTCGTTAATTGCCATTTATGTAGTTACTGTACTAAATTTATCTGTAATGGGTGTTAGCTATTCTCTCAAGGTTTTGTAGCCCTAATTGGTATGAAGGACTGTACTTATCTAACACTCAAATTTTTTAATGGAGTTAGAATGTTATAAGTGAATACTTAATGTAGACAAAAGTCAAACGTGTTTGACATATAATAGAAACATTTCTTAATCCCAAAAGAATGTGGAAATCATAAGATTTTCCCATGGAAACAGGTTTTTAATGTCCTGGCCTATTCTACAGTGTGCTCACCCTGGTTGAGCCTTGCTCAATAAATTCATTCTTGCAGTCCTCAGAGGCTGTTTTTGCTTTTTCTGGCCTTTCAGAACTATGGTCTTTGAGCCAAAGTTCAATTTTATTTTGCAGGAAATCTTACTGTAAGTTTTATTATATTCTGTGTCTTCATATGGGCTTGGATTTAAATCAGTGATCACACTGCATGTGCCAGCCTTTTATTGGATAGGGCTAGTGAAATGCAGCATTTGCATTATCCACTTGGAGTTGCTGATCCAGCACAGAAAAACAAGCTAGGTTCAGCTTCAATCTTGATCTCTTAGTACTAAATTGTGGGAAAATACTGGACACTGATTATCTGGGGTTTTTTGTGGGGTTTTGGAGGGAGAATGAAATGTTTGCAGGGCATTGATAATACGAGCCAATGTACTTAACAGTTTTCAATATATACACAGAAACTTTGGAAGAGGCTCTTATATAAAGTGCAGTAAATGTCATTTTAAGTTTTGAATGGTGAATTTAAAATTTACCTGAAACAATTAAATACCTTGGAGGAAGCAGAAAGGAGGTGGGATAAGCATCTACTTGTAATTCTGTGGTTGCTGGAGATAGCAAAAGATTTTTTAAAAACCACAGGTTGCAAATAGGAAATCTAAAGCTGTATTAAAATAGCTCTTTTTATATTGAGGGAAAAGTATTGTTACTGTTGACAAGTTTCTTGATGACTGTTATGCTCTGGTCTGTTATAATTTTCAACTTGTTAGATAATTAACTTTTTTTTTTTGCAGCTGGCTGTACAGGGATTGAACCCTGGACCTTGGTGGTGTTAGCACCACACTCTAACCAACCGAGCTAACTGGCCAGCTCAACAATTAACTTTTATAATGACATTTTCTTCCTTATATTTTGGACACCTCTTACAATTTTTATCTATTAGTAATGTATGTGCCCAAAGAGCTGACACTGCGTCCTCTCCTGGGCAACTGGGCACAAGTATCAGTCTCTGTCTTGATGTTTCTGCAATAAAAGCAAAATGCTCTATTTATGATAACATCTTTCCCATATCCTAAACATGTCATGAGCTTAAATTGTGACATCACTACAGGGGGCAAATTGGATTTAAATATTTCTAGGTTAGGAGACATTAAAACCCTAGCAGATTGAACTCAGATCTGTTGTGCAACTTTTTGCACTTGAAAAAATATGTTAACATGTAAAAAATTGCGCAGTTTTATGTTAGTGATGTCACTGACATGATTTTTGCTTTAAAATGAGACCAGTTAATATATATTTGTGCACAGATGATAGTTTATGTAGGAAATAGTGAGAAAATAGAAAAATACATATGCACATATATTCCTTAAGAGTCATATGTGTATCTCAGTGGGAGAGGAACCCAGCAGTTAAAAAACATACTCATTAATTTGAATAAATTTAATATTTTATAGCTATATAACCAGTATAAAGAGTAACTTTTACTGAGAAAAATGGAGTCCATTATAGTAAGCCAGTGAGCGGGAACTGGTCTGTATGTGGGATCCAAACCCTCAGCGGGAGCGCCACCACTCTTCCCAAGCGGCGCACTATAACAGTGCGCCACCGGGCCGGCCTGAGACTTTTTAAATGTATACAAAAAAAGACATTTTTAGAAGATGATTTAAGAAGTGACAAAGTTCTCCACAATATATTTACTGAGTATTAGATGGCTTCAAATGTAGACTTTGCTTAAAAATTTTAAGACATCAAAACTAGAATGGAATAAAGTAAGGTGAGAGGTCAGAGTGGGAAAGGCTGGTGATGACAGCACCCTGTCCCTGCCCCAGCTGAGTGCTGGGCTCTCACTAGACAAGAAATGCCTTCAAGTATTGACTGCTCTTGGGTGAGCTGGTGAAGATCAGTTTTGGTTCCTGTTTGAGAAATATAGTCAAAAATGTATAAATCCCATCAAAGAGCAGGAAAATCTGTTTTCAAAATAAAAAGATGAATAATACAAACTTTTAAAACAGACACCTTACTACCCAATGATAAACCTAGTTCTCCTTAGTTTATGTGCAGTTGGGATTCTAAAAGTGCAGTCTGAAGTGCTGGGTATTTATCCTTTAATTTTCTAGGTGGGGTTAATATACCATGTTTTGATAAGGCTGCTTTTGTGAAATATAGTTTATTTAGTAAAATACAGGTGTCACAGAATTATTGCAAGATACCTGCAGTTGTAGTTTAGCTTGTATAAGCTTATCTTACAAAGTTTTATTGAAGAGTAGTGAGCTGGGTAGTAGTAGCATCAGCAACTTTTTTCCTCTCTGAAGTTTTTCAAACTTCCCAAATTTTCTTATGTCATTGATTTCTAACAAGTAAAGTATAAAAGTATCTGGAAAGCTTAACTCTGTGCTGTTGCAGACCGGCTCTATGCTTTGATTTTCTGCTGGTAGGCCAGAAGCGAACTCCTAGAAGAGGGGAGCAGCCAGGATGGAATGACAGCCGGGGGACAGAGGGGACGCTTGACAGAGAGGAGCGGAGATTCTACAGGGAATATCGACCCTATGAGACCGAGAGGCAGGTGGACTTTACAGCTGAGAAGTTTACAGATGAAAAGTATGTACTGCAGTCCTCTGCTGGGGGAGAGGGAGAGGGAGCCAGAAGCGTTTTCAGAAAACGACTAGACTCTGACCTTTTGGTGGTGCCAGCCCTAGAAATATTTTGCCAATTTAAGTAGCAAATCATGTTACCTTAGGTGACACATGAAGGATCTTCCATTTATCTTACATATGACCTTACTAATTGGTTTAGAAAATGATTGTACAATTAAAAATAAATTGTTTATTGGTAATTATAAAAAGCACTCAAAAATTACACAGGAGTGTGTTGAACTGGTTAAATTCTCTTTTGAAGTTTTAGACTAGGGATATAATTTTGGGCTAGGAATATTATTATGGTTTTGATTTAGCATTACTAATTTGGACTATTAAAATGATTTAGACAAATTCCTAGCTCCATGGTCAGGTCAATAGGCTGTCATGATGAAGTCTGAAGAAAAATCTGATATGACATGTAATACCAATTTCTGGCTCATGTACCTTCTCTAGAAAGTACTCTGCCATGGTATCTGGTCTCGCACTTGTGCAGTCTTAGATCACTCCTAAGTGATGTAGCAGCACTCAGACCATCCATGCCCCACCTGTGCACAGGTGGCAGTTATTTGAGTTTTATGCTTTGCACTAGAGAGATGGGTACTTGCTGCCTAAACTTTTGTTTAACTGTTAAAACTACATAGCACAGAGTTTAGGTTAAGTAGAAACATCTAGTGAATCACATTTAAAGGAGAATAAGGTAAAGAGGGAAGACTAGAATAGTGTACAGTTAAATATCAAGGGAGCCGTTATCCCCAGTCTTTCAGCTTCTTGATGACTAATTCCACTTAGAATCCTGGCTGCAAGTTTTAACCAAAGTACAAGGCTTTGTAAAACTGCACTCTAGAGTCTATTAAAAACAAACAAACAAAAACGTCCAGCAGAGAGTAGCTGAGTCTGTGAGGGCAAAGCAGGTGGTGACTTCTGCACATCTGTCCACCTAGAAGTTACATATTCAGAACATTAAGATGGTATATCTGCCACCATGTTGGAAAGAGAGAGGTATAGAAAGGCATAATTCTACTTTTTTTTTTTGGTGTTTACTTTAAATTTGCTGTACAATGGCCACACTCTACTTACGTATAAAAAGCAAATAGATCAGAGCTCCTTATTTTTGGAAAATTTAGGTGTGTTTTTTCTCACTTTGGGGATTTATTCTGTGGAAATAAGGAAATTGTAGTTCAAAAGTACAAACCTGTATTGCCAATCTTTTCTTAGTAGCAAGGCTATGTACTCTAAAAAGGATAAAATAGATCTTTACATATGACATTAAAAGATGCCTATTAAATGAAATAATACACATATGCACGAGGAGGGGTAGGACAGAATATGGAATTATGGAGGGTTTTTTTTCCCTTTAAAGTAATTTTAGATTTAGAGAAAAGTTGCAAGAATTATAGAAAGAATTACCATATGCCCTTCACCCAGATTCCCCAAATGTTAACTTTTTGTCACACTTGCTTTATCATTCTCTCTCTACACACATGTACACACACACTTTTTTCTTTGTTACTTGAGAATAAGGTGTAGGAATGTCCCCTTATCCCTAAATACTTTAAATATATTTCTGAAACACATGGTACAGTTATCAAACTCATTAACACTGATACAATACTTTTATCTGATTCTCTAAATTATATATCTACAGTCTTTATTTAAATTTCACCTGTTGTCCTAATGATGTCCTTTTAGTAAAAGAGAAAAACATTTCAGGTTCAGAATTCAGTCCAGGAATGTGCACTGTATTTAGTCTCCTTTAATCTGAAACAGCTCCTTAGTCTCCCTTTATCCTTTATGAATTTGACATTTTTTTTTTTTCCTTTTTGTCTTTTTTCGTGTCCGGCAACAGATCGCAACCCTCAGTGTCGCGCCCGTACCGGACCGGGACCAGCAATGGGATCGCAACCTTTGGTGTTGCGGCCGCACCTCGCTCAGCCAGTGAGCGGGAACCGGTCTGTATGTGGGATCCGAACCCTTGGCGGGAGCGCCGCCGTGCTCCCAAGCAGCGCACTGTAGCAGTGTGCCACCGGGCCGGCCCGAATTTGACATTTTTGAAGAGTGTGGCTGTTAATTTGTGGACATCTCAGAATTTGAGTTTGTTCTGAGTTTCCTCATAGAACAAGATTACCACTTTTGGCAGGAACACCATAGAAGTAATGTTGTTTTCTTCTTAGTACATCACATTAGGAATGCGTAGGGAATTCTAACTTTCGGGGAAATTTGAATTTTTTAATAGGCCATGTGATGTCAGAAAAGATATTTTCCATAGTTTCTCCAAAAATACCTTTCTGATAATAAAGACTCATAAGATGGTTAATAAAAATAATTTATAGTCACTTTAGACAATTTCAAAAGAGCATAAAATTACAAAGAAAATTAAAATCACCTCCTTACTATCTGAGATGATTACTCTTACAACACCTTGCCCTGTTTTCTTCCTCATGTACTGGTACACTTAGACGTTAAGGAGATAGTGCACGTCCACTGAGTGCTATACATGCCTCCTCTTCCACTTCCTGTGGCATAAGCCTTTTCCATATTTGGTAAGCATTTTTTTTTTTTTTTTTTGTCCTTTTTGAGACCGGCCGCACCGCGCTCAGCCAGTGAGCGCTGTGAGCGCACCAGTCATCTCTATATAGGATCCGAACCCGCGGCGGGAGCGCTGCTGCACTCCCAGCGCTGCACTCTCCCGAGTGCGCCACAGGCTCGGCCCATTGGTAAGCATTTTTAATGGCTCTATTATGATTTTTTGTTTGGATGTATCATAATGTAATCATCCCCTTAGTGTTGAGCCTTTGCTCAGCTTCCAGTTTTTTGCTTTATAAGCAATACACATTGAGCAGCTTTTTATATCTGTAAGGAGTTTCGTAGATGGAATCCTAGAAATGGAATCCCAGTTACAGTCATAGAGCAGTGGTTCTCAGGTGGGGGTAGCATATTACATTTGGGACCCATCTCGTACTTCAGGATTGGGTGGGTACACGTAGAGTGAAAACACAAAAATTGGGGGACAGGGGAGGTGTTGATACATAGGCACAAATCACTGTTCTAGTAACCTATCAATTTGTTTTATCACTAATAACCCATGACAGCATTACTCAGCATTTTCTCCAAACATAAACATAATAAGTTAAAACTTGATCTTTGCTTATGTGATACTGAAAAATGGTATCACCTTGAATTTCTTTGATACCTATACACATTTATGGGACAGAATTATAAAGTCTTAATAATCTTGAAAGGTTATCTAAATTCAACACCCTCAATTTATAGATGAGGAAATAGAGACCCAGAATTTCAAAGACATGTACTTTGGTCACAGCCAGTTGACATGGATTTTTATTCTGCTTAGGCAGAACGTATGTTTTCTTATAGAAGCAATGTTAAAAATGGTGCTGGGATTGACTCTCAGCATGTCTGAGCTCCGGAGATCAGCTATATCATGTGCTGCACATATTCCAGAAGTTCATCTACTGTTTTCAGTGCAGTAGGAATTTTTCCTTAGACTCCAGATGAACTTAATTGAACTCTTAGAACATAGACTATTAGGAAATTAGTCTGCCTCTGTCTGGGTACATTTTGACTTCCTTTCTGTAGCTCACTGCTGGTCATTTAAAGTCAATTCCAATTCTGAAAGAATCACTTAAATGCTTATTCCCCTTCCTTCCCATAAAGAAGCTGTTTAAAAAAATTGTGATAAAATATACATACCATAAAATTTACCATTATAATCATTTTAAGTGTGAATGGCATTACATACATTCTCGTTATCGTGCAACCATCCCCACATCCATCTCCAGAACTTTTCATCTTCCCCAACTGAAATTCTGTCCCTGTTAAACACTAACTCCTCATTCACACCTCCATGAGCTTCAGTCTCTTTACATGTAAAATAGGTACTCGTGTCTGCTTTTTAGGATTGCTGTGAGAGTGTGAATTACAGGTATGTAAAGCAGGGTGCATGGCTCAAGCGTTATTTTTCTTTTAGCTTATGAGTTCATCACAAGTAAAACTTCCTAAGTGGAGTACAGGATTCCTCAGTCCTTACCAACCTTTAAAAAAAAAGAGGATGTGTTTTATAATAAAGGGATTGTAAAGCAGTTGAGAATGTATTTAATTGGGGGGGAGGGGACCTGTGGAGCAAAGGGAAAATGTTTTAAGGGATTAAAATGTATCCGAACAGGAGTGTTGAGGTCTGGTTTCAATCACTGTTTTATTTTAAAAGAATTTGTTATGTTGTTGGTGTCTGATCCAGATTTTTATACATGTAGACCTTGCTTTGACCGTGATGTTGTTTTCCATGTGTGTTTTTGCTCTTCATCTCCTCTCAACTTTTAGGTAGACTTTTTTCTTTTATTGCTCTGTTCACCTTCCTGATTAAGAGTTTACTGTTACTTTTGTTCTTGTCAAGAACTCTGCTTTAGATATTTACTGTAGCATAGAATTAGGTTTTATAAAGATTTCTATTTAAAAATTTGGTATGGGTCAGGGGAAGTGGGAGACAGAAAAGACAACTTGGAGAGTTTACTCAGGATGGTGTTTCTTGTAAGAGACTGGCTTGAAGTTAGTGATTGGCACTTCTGTATTTCTTCATCTTTTCAAGTAAGGAAAATTATGAGTTTTGTATCTTTTTATCCACTATTGTGTAGTGGCTTTTTACTGTAACATTTTTAGCCATAAAGTAGACTGAAACATACCTCTGATGCTAGTGTTTGAGCCACTAAGGCCATTAGCTTTCTTGATGTCTGCAATATTTTGCTGCCTTAAGTGTTTGTAAAAGCCTTGACAGATTAAAAATGTTTATCGTATTAAACTAGGGTTATAATGGTGAAAAAGACATGATGCTTTCCTGCAGAAGGCTGGAGTCTAGTGGAGGAGAGACGTCTTCAGGAGGAGAGATGGTGACTAGAGACACAGCAGGAGGACGGTGTCAGAAGTGGGTGGGTGGTCATGCCCTTGACCCTGGCCTGGGTGGGCAGGGGAAGAAGGGAGAGGAGAGGCTTGAGTTCTTTCTGGTGTCGTGAATTAGGGGCCATAGGAGGAACCAAGGGGTCAGTGCGGGTTGTGTGTCTGCTGGGCCCATAAAGGTACAGGTGGAGATGTCCAGGAAGTCACTGGCTTTGTGGCCTGGAATCAGAGAAAGACCCAAATGAGAGACACAGGGTCAAGAAGCATCAGCATAGAGATGAGGAGGATGTGTGAAGGACAGACAGGCATCCAGAAGAAGGATGGAGGCAGCTCGTGTGGAGCACCCAGAGAGACGGCCATGTGCGAAAGGTGAAGTGCACGGCTTTTCGGGACGTGATTTGAGTGGCTGCCTCCGAGAGCAGAATCAGGTGGCTGAGGAATGGTGTGCCCTTTGTACCGAGTTTAGGTATTCCCTATTCCAAAAATAATTTTTTTAACAACAAACAGAGAAAGAGAAGCCAGAAAGGTCAGAGGAAAATGAGTGGTGGGCAATGTCAGGCGATGCGTAGAGATCAAATGGCATAGAGACAAAAGTCACTATTAGGTTTAACAAGGAGGTCTCAAGCTATCTTGGAAGTTTATGTGGAGTAATGGGGTAGAAGTCAGGTTGTAGCACATTAATGTTTTCAGTCCCCTGTGTCACCAACTGGTTATGTGTTTAGGAGAGAAAAATTTGGGAGGGGGCATAATTTGAAGTTTAACCATTTTTCTTATTGCTCAAAACATTCCAAATTTAACTTAAAGATTTAGTGAAAAGGGATGCCCCATACAGATTAGTATGAGGCCTGTCAAGGACCTGCTTCTTTTGCACTGTCTCTGCCACTCAGCAGCTGTGTGACTTTGGGCAAGTTACCCACCTACTCTGTGCTTCTGTTTCCTCATCTATGGGCAGTAGTTGTATATTACAGATTTGTTTGTGGTAATTAAATTGCTAAATGATAAAGTGCTCAGAACAATGCCAGGTATAGTGTGTGCTCAGTAAAGCTTAACTCTTAATTTATTCTTCAAGCCACCATTCTTTCTAATATACTGGAGCCATAATCTCTTTCTAGAAATTTCTCTCAGAAAGGCCTTAGACCTTTAATTCATTCACCACTTTTTATTATACCTGTCTCTTCCTAGACCAGTTGACAGGTTTGATCGAGACAGACCGCTGAGAGGACGCGGAGGCGCAAGAGGGGGGATGCGAAGCAGAGGCAGAGGTGGTCTCGGGAACAGAGCTTTTGACGCTTTTGACCAGAGAGGGAAACGAGAGTTTGAGAGATATGGTGGGAATGATAAAATGTGAGTTTCCTTGTAAATGCTGTTTTCACTTTAAGACTTTGGTAGTGCATGGTATAAACCTGTTTGTTTTGTGTTAATGTTAACTTTATGTTAGCATACTGTTATTCTTGTGGGATGCTGACCCTGGGACAATTTTTATGAACAACTTTTTCTGTTTTGGAGATGGACTGAAGAGCAGCTTCCAGTTTAAGGAATGTTTTTTCTTTCCCTAGAGCAAGCAGAACTGAAGACAGCATGGGTGGGTATGGACCTCACACCTGGGGATCAGGTAAAGACAACAGGTACGGTGCACACATGTGTCCTCTGGGAACTTGCAGTTAGGTGGGACCTCTGGGTCTTAACTCGCTTTTCTTGAAAATGATGTCCTCTGTGTCGTGCTTCACACTCTTGTGCCCTGTGTAGAGATTGCTTTTAGGCTCTTGTTTAGTGAAATAACTTTTAAAAATAGTTTTGCTCTGTTGCAGTCCTCACAGCCTGTATAAAAAAGAACTCAAAATAAGTCATGGATTTAAGTGTAAAATATGAAAGTATAAAACTTTTAGGGCCGGCCCGGCGGCGCACTGGATAGTGCGCCGCTTGGGAAGCGCGGCGGCGCTCCCATCCAAGGGTTCAGATCCCACATACGGACCGGTTCCCGCTCACTGGCTGAGCGGGGCGCGGGAGCAACACCGAGGGTTGCAATCCCGTTGCCGGTCCCCGGTCCGGTACGGGGGCAACACTGAGGGTTGCGATCCGTTGCCGGACACGGAAAAAAGACAAAAGACAAAAAAAAAAAAAAATCTGACTTTTAAAATCTTACGTTAGCCAGAAAATTTGTGACACAAGACCATATGTTTGCTGATGCCCCAAGAACAAGGAATTCTACATTTGCATGTGCCTTGGAGTGCTTTTTAAATTCCTGGATATTCTATACTTTATTTTTCTGTGGCATTCCAAAGTTCTTGTAGGTCCTTGACATTGCAGCTTGATTTTATAAAATCATTAGCAGATCGAAGCTCAATGACAGGTTTCTCCAGAGGCTCAAATTGGACATTTCTCTGAGGCTTCATGGTGCTTCAGATCTCTGCCAATTTTAAAATAGGCCTTGGTCCCTGGTTCTCTGTTTCTGTCATTTCTCAGCTGTAGGGATGATGCTTTCTGGGTCTTCAGAGGAAGGGTGGGACGTAGGCAGGGCAAGGAGTGTTGCAGGGTGGGCTTGCCACACGTCTGAAGGCTTGAGGGGATCCAGACTTCCACTTTTTTTCTTTTGAAGAATATCAGCTTTTTACATGAACTTATTTATGCTAAATTGTTGTCCTTAAAGACAAGTGTACAAGTGTACAAAGAAAAATGTACAAATAATTCAAATGTAACATTATATTTGCCACCATTGATCATCTGTGTTGTCCTTGAAAGGAAGAGAATTTTTTTTGGCGGCTGGCCAGTACAGGGATCTGGACCCTTGACCATGGTATTATAGCACCAAAGGAGAATTTTATTGAGTGTTTCTCAGCCTGGAGTTCCATAAAATCTCGATGACAGATCTTTTAATTTTGTTTTATTTTACTTTGATAATGTAATTTAAAAAGTAATACAGGCACCTAAATCATCTGATTTACCATCTTACCTAATGCTACCACTCTGTTTCATTGCATTTGAACCCAAAATCATTTTGGCTCCCAGCAGTTTCTTACCATAAGAGGGGCTAGCACTGGCCTTGTAAAGTGAAGAGATGACCACATGTGCTCCTGGTGGGCTGGCATGTCCTGAAGTTAAAATGCCACATGCCACATGATACTCATTTTGGATTTGTTTGTGAGTTATAAAGTCAAAGCTCTTAGGTGGTAATAATTTGTAACTGAAAGATATTCTCAGGGCCGGCCCGGTGGCGCACTGGAGAGTGCGCCGCTTGGGAGCGCGGCGGCGCTCCCGCTGAGGGTTCGGATCCCATGTAGAGACCGGTTCCCGCTCACTGGCTGAGCGCGGTGCCGGCGCAGCACTGAGGGTTGCGATCCCGTTGCCGGTCCCCGGTATGGGCGCAACACCGAGGGTTGCAATCCCGTTACCAGTCAGTAAAAAAAAGACAAAAAGGAGAAAAAAAAAAAAAGAAAGAAAGATATTCTCAGGAAAAGACTAATCTTTTACTTAATAAGTTGAGATTTCGACTTGACCTCATGAAAGCAACGTAGTGCAGTGGAGTTCGGTGCTACTTTTGATCAGCGAGGAGAAAGCTGAGGTGAGCCCCACATGGTACGTGATGTCTTCAGGGCTGGGGAAGGCCAAGTGCTTCTTGACGCCTTGTAGATGTGAGGGTTTTGCTGTAATTCAGGATTCCTATTTGAAGACATCAGCAGCAATAACTGGAATTAAGGACAAGATGCTTTCCAACTGGTGTGACTAAGCCATTTACAATATTATTGGCTTTCTTCAACAGTTTGACAGTGAGTGTCTGGGCTGAAAATAGAGTTTTTTCCATCTGCAGTAATTAAGAAGTATAACATCAGACATTATTTTGTTGAAAATTGGAGTAGACACCCATGAGTGCAGTTTTCAATAATGCTGCCTTCCAACTTTTATTGTGAAGAGCAAGATAGTTTTATGTCATTATCAAGCAACAGTTTATGAAAATCTGTTCACTGAGATTTAGTTAAGTGGGAAGTCTGATTAAATTTGAACTAGATAACAAAGCCTTAAAGTGTTTAATGTCATTTTGTGGAACATACTTGCACAGACAGGCGTTTTCTGCACTATAGTGTAACTAAAGACAAAATGTGGACATGGGCCCTGGGGCTGTACCTTTCTTCTAATAAATCCAACATTGGCAGTTTACTTTCAACAAAATAACATAATGTGCCAAAATAAATTGCTGCTAATTTCGAAACTTGTTTTGCAGTTTTGGTCCTGCGGCTCTATAAGAGCTGTACGTATGGCATTAGTTTTATGTTTAGTTATAAAATAATTTAGGTTGACCCAGGGGGAAGATCTGTGATTTTTCTTTCTGTAAAATCAGTTAATTGCTCACGTTTAAGAAAATAGATTTTAGTGTCTTTGTTTTTTGAGTTCTGCTCTTGTTTTTCTTCCCCATGTTGTTTATAATCCTGTTATGATTTTTAATATTCAAACAGTATAAATTGTCAGTAAACCGATATTTTTTATCCCCTTTGTTTATTCCATGGCAAAGGGAATAAAGAGAAAGTTGTAGTAATTCAGCACTGCTGCTGCTGCTAGACTTCAGCGTTATTGGATTCTTCAAAACCAGGTGACCCTATTGTGGTCAGATGTGCAGGTTTGGCCATTTGTGAAGGGGCCTCACTGGGCAGACCAGCAGCCGTGCTCCTCCCAAGCACAGAGTGTATTTGATTTAGGACCTGATTTTTTAAAAGTGAAAGTTAATCAAATACTGTGTGCAGAAACAGTGATTTTTTTTTTAATTGATTAGTTTTTTTTAATAGCTTGGAGTTGAGAATAAAAAAAGCATTTAAATTGGAAAAATCTATTCTGTTATTGCAATCCAATTTATGTTTACTTTTTTAAAAATAACTTATTTTTAAAGCCCTCACTGAAGCATTTTCCTAAACAGGGATGAAAAAGTGCTGTGTTCTGTATGTAGCCTGTGAAATATTTCTAATGGATGTATTTATATTGACTAATTTTAGCAGTTTCCTGACATTTCTTTTGCTGAGACTTTTATTTTTAAGTGACATTCAGATAGGATTAATGTTAACATAAAAATGAAAAATTAAGATCATGTGAATTTTAATTCAGTTTATTTTTTATTGTGCTGTCATTTCTAATCTGTAGGTTGTATATTTAGATGTGATGGTATATAAATCAGTGTTTCAATGCCTTGTTTTTCTAGAATAGTTATCACCAGCTTGTTTGCCATCATACTCATTTTTGTGGGATCTGTTTCCACTTTCTTACTTTTTTTTAGGGGTTTGATATGGCGTATTCTTATTTTTAATAAATCATTTAACATTTGTAGTTTGAGAATTTTTATGGTTCCTTTTAATACTTGGGATTCCCTGGTTTCTGCTTAATAAGAGTTTTGAGTAATTTTTCTGATCACTTACAATCTGTTCTTGATTTTAGATCATTCATGGAAACATTTGTTTCTCAAAAACCTTTTCACATTTTTATAAATAATTTATATGGATAAGCATTTGAGAAAATGTTCTCATTTTCATTTTGATATGGGTGCCTGTGTGTGTATTTAATTCCTTGAAGAACATGTCCTTAAGATAAAGGACATTAAAATGTGTTTTCTTTATCTTAAATATGTAAGGGCCTTGATGTGAACATGTTTGCATGACTTGAGAGGTCCCTGCTGTTTTTCAGCGACGTGGAGCAGACTGTACCGGTACAAGAGCCTGCGGCAATGGATGCGGCCCAGGGTGCCCTGGAAGAGGACTCCCCAGCCAAGTAGGGCGTTTCATTCATTTCCCCGTTGGGTTGTTGGTCTTTTTCTAAACAGTTTCTGAGAGATCTTCACAGAGTAGAAAGTTCAGCCCTCTGTCATGTCACAGAAGGTTGATCTTCTTAATGTATTAATGACTAATAATCAAATGGATTAATAATTAGTTCCAGCTGTCCAATGAATGATTATTAATGATAATTAATGGGTTAGATTCCAGTATTCCATCGTCTGCCGACACCTCTTTTCTGTCATCAGCTTATTAAACTCCTTTATCGTGACTAGTCTCCCTCTGGTCAGAACTCCTGTCTCTTGTCCTCTTCATTCTCTCCCAGTCCACCCCCCTCTTTTCTTCATGTAGCTTACATCCCTGGCCCCTCTCTAGCTCTCTTGCTGAGTTGCTAAATATGCTTGCCCCTCGTGCTCCCTTGGCCTTTGGACTCTGTGCTGTGCCATGCTAGCAACCCCCTCCTGGGTGAGCCTGACCATTGGCCTTCTCCCTGCTGTGCCCACAGCTGAACCCTGCAAGCCACACGGCAGGGCCCCTGGAATGCCTGTGATTTCTTGACCACTAGCATTCTGAAACAAACCCTCGGTACTGCCCAGCAACCTCCGTTTCTTGGATTCACTTTCTCTCACCTTCCACAGTGACTGCTTTGATTCCTGTTTTCTCCTCAAAGCCCTGGTACTGCCCTGCACTTTACCCTTCTCCCATCATCCCCACACCCACACCTTTTCTTTCATTTTTTGGATAAAATTTTGCCTCCTATGCCACAGGGAAATCAGGGGCCACTAATGGGAACTTCACCATTTTTCCACTCCTAAAGGTACACACCTGCCTGCATCTGCATGCCTCCTGCTGTCCTCCCCTCGTGATGAAATAGAAGTGCCATCTCTCCTCCACCTTCTCATGCTTGGATCCTCTTTCCTCCTGACTGCACAGAAGCCTCACACAGTCAGTTAGCTCCTCCCAGCTCTGGTCTTCCAGTCAACATGTTAACCGTGCCCACTCTCTCCTGTTTTGTCTTCTCCTCTTGCTTTCAGAGTTGTATGTGCTCTTTATTTCCTTCTCTCTTGCCTATTCCTCACGCCACACCAGGTCTGGCCTCTCTGTCCTTGTGCCCTTCTGAACAGACCTAGTGGATGTTCCAGCTGCATCTTTCTGGACCTCTCAGAAGCATCTGACTTTATTGATTTCTCTTGAATACACTCTCCCATTTGTTTCTGTGATAACTGCCTTCTTGTGGTTTTCCTTCTGCCTCTCAGCGTTGTCTTTGCAGGTTCACCCTTGTCTCCCTGGTCTTTTACAATGTCAGCCTTCAGGGCTGTGCCTTAGCTGCTCTTCTTTCTCTGGAGTCCCTTTATGGGATCTTATGCACCCCGTGGCATAAATTGCCATTTACACACTGACTGCAGAGTACACATCTCTGGCTCCAGGCCTGTGTATCCACCTGCCTGCTGGACACCCGCCCTTGGACATCCCAGATGCTCCTCACACTCAGCATGGTGAGGACTGAGCTGACTCCTCCTCAGCAGGCCTCAGGTGTTCCCATCTTGTGGGGCAGCATCACCATCCATCCAGCTGCACAAACCAGAAACCTCAGAGTTGTCCTTGGAACTTGTCCCCCTTATCCCTCTTCTTGTCCCCCTCCCTCCCTGAAATCCAGTCCTTCAACCTTCCCTGGTGATGTGTACCCATAAGTGTCCACCTCTCCACTCACCAGTGGTCTAAACTGTTGTCATCTGGACCATCACTCTAGCTCCTGACAGGGCTCCTGCTATTTCACCTTCTACACAAAAGTGGCCTTCACACTGGCATTCTGATTGTTGGGCCCCCACCCCTCGCTGAAGACCCCCAGGGGCCTCTGGTCCTTTTTCTGTCCTCCATTCTGACCTGCAGTCCTACATGGTCTGGCCTCTGCAGAACCCTCCAGTTTGGCCACTCAGTGCCTTCTTAGGGTTCACCACATGGCCCTTGCTTCATGTTCTCAAACATACCTTCCCCCCCCCCACCCTCACATCTGCCAGACAAATTTCACAAGTGTTATTTCCCTGTTTTTTTCTCTGCTTCTCCCCCAAACTCCCTTCACCCCTCACCTATCTCACTCTTACTCATCCTCAGCTGCCAGAAGGCAGGGTGTCTGGTGGGTGAGAGCATAGACTTCGAGCCAGTATGCTGAGTTCAAATCCCAGCTCTGCCACTTAATAGTTTGGGCAAGTTATTTAATCTGCCTTCTTTAGTGGCTCAGTTTTCTTCATCTGTAAAATGGGAATAATAAGGTACTTGTATTATAGGGTCCTTATAAGAAGTGGATGTGGTGTGTGGTCTAGAGTGGTACCTGGCTCTATAAATATCTGCTAGTGTTATTGTTACTTGCAAGGTTTTCTTCATCTGTAAAATGGGAATAATAAGGTACTTGTATTATAGGGTCCTTATAAGAAGCGGATGTGGTGTGTGGTCTAGAGTGGTACCTGGCTCTATAAATATCTGCTAGTGTTATTGTTACTTATTGCAATAGTAATCAGTGCCACAATGACTGATGATTGTGAAAAAAGTTCATTTACTATTCAAAACAACTAAGAAACATTTAATTAAAGAAATAGGATTAACAGTTAACATGAATATTTAGACAGTGAGTTAAACAAAGAAATAGATTATATGAATTTTGAGAAAATAAATTAGCTAAATACGTTCATTATACCCTTTTGAGCCAATAAACATTTGTACAAATTCAGGTAATATAAGGAAGAATAATAGGGAGTGAATTATAGCATCATTCTAATCTGTAGAATTGATTGAGGTACCCTACCATTCATATTGACAAAATAATTCTTTAAATTAGTCACCCTGAAAGACAAAATGATGCTTGGTGAGTTGGTGGCAATCTCACTGTCCGCAGTGTCCTAGCAGAGTTAGCCAGGAAATCTCTCTCTTCTCTAGTGATCATGTTGAAAGAGAGCATCTGTTAGCGCTGCAGGTGCTGCACAGGAGAGCGGCCACATTGTCCAGCCATGCTGAGAAATTCTTGTCTCTGCACTGCCTTCCTTCTCAAACTTTAAAAGTATTATTAAAATTTCTACTAATACAGTTATAATTTTCTGATAATTTTAAAATTAGGCTTGGATCCAAGGAATACATTCAGTGATAATGATGCTCTCTGGTCGCGGCTTTGTCTGAATATTGATTTAATGCTCACGCTTTCGGCATTTAGCGAAAATGTTCAGTGCACCTCTCAGTTTCAGGACTTCTTGATAGATGAATTATGTGCCCTCATTTATGTTCAAGCACACCACCCAAGCCATACATTTTCTCAGATTTGACACACTTTGCTGGTAATTATATGTGCTACATCCTTCCTTCCTTCTTTCTTTAATTACAGAAGTATATTAAATGTTCCTTGTCACATGGTGTTCTGATGTCCAAGGATACCTGTGACAACTTCTTCTGAGTACTTTAAGAATAAGTCTAAGATTTATTTTTTATTTATTTTATTTTATTTTTTTTGTCTTTTGTCTTATTTTTCCGTGTCCGGCAACGGATTGCAACCCTCAGTGTTGCCCCCGTACCGGACCAGGGACCGGCAACGGGATTGCAAACCTCGGTGTTGCTCCCACGCCTCGCTCAGCCAGTGAGCGGGAGCCGGTCTGTATGTGGG